CGTAGACCTCAATCATTACGACTGGGTCACTCGTGGTTTCTTTTTTCGCGGCGTCAGGAAGAACGCCGATGGCTTGTTTCTGCAGCCAGGTCGCATGTAATTAAACAGCACATTGCTGCTTCTCTGTGCATGGTCCAAAGTAGTGGATGTTTGCGTGCGTTCCGTTGTCGAATCCCTGACTTTTAGTGGTTTCGCATTTCACGAAATGTCAGCAGATCTTGTCTCCTGTTCACAAGCGACCTCAAATAGTTCTGATATGCATGAGCAGGCCCGGTTTGCGTGGTCTAGTATGATGAACGCTGTTATTCTCCACAATCCGCATTTCACGGAATGCTAGCACATCTTGTATCCTGTAGTCAACTTTATGAAAAATAGTTTAAACCTCTTATCCAAAAGACGTCCAACCCTCTTAGACAAATTGCGGTCCGTCCGACTGTGTGCTGGGCGAACATCGCCTCAGCCTCTTGAACTTTGTGGACGATGATCCAGTATGGCTCTTCTACTGTCGCTGGTCCCAGTTTTGCTCGTTCCAGAAAGGTGCGCATTTATCAGAAGTTTACACGACAGAAGTTTCGGATCGACGTTTGAACTTTGAGATTTCTGACCCGGTAGCAGATGAAATAAAAGGTCGGCACACAGCTGTCGCCGTGTCCCAGTGGAGCATTAAACATCAACTTCTCGAGGTGCCTTTCGTTGGTGATGACCGAATCCAGGATTGATGGTAGCTGGGCTGCTCGGTATCTGGTGGATGCGACGGAATGCTGATTCAAACCACTCTATTTACCGCTATGGTCAGCGCCGCTGCAAAATGCTTACTAGACTCAAGGGGCTGGAGCTTCGTCCCGGAGACCTTGTAGGCGATAACATCACCTACCAGCAAGAAATGTGTAAATTGGTAGTTGGAGGAGAGTTCTCGGCTTGCAGCACTTCAAGTATTTTGAGACTATTCGTGTGTAACTCTGGGTGCCAATATCGCCTACCTCCATCGCCTTTCGTCGCTAGATTACGGAAAATCGTCGGGCGAATGCCGCTCGACTCTGATTGGCCAGTCGGAATATACCCTCACTCAGCACGCAGCTGACCCAGAGTACCCGCGGCGTCTCCTCGATGATTGGTTATTGCTATTGGGCATGGACAGAAATATACGACTGAGGGAACGGCCACCCTATTGACAACCACACGTCGACCTAGGCGGACCAGTTCGCTAACACCACCCAGTAACCTCCGACTCCAAGGTTGGAGGAATTACGAGTCCACAAATTTTCACCGAATTCTGTTAGACTTGCACAGCGTGGCACTTGTCTTGGCGGACTGGATGGCATCGCTCGGAGCAGCTCGTCATGGGAAGTACATACAAAAGCCAGAGTTTCATTCAAGCGCACGTAGTTGACGTGGTGCACGTCGTTGATCTGAACACAGCAGTCCGGATCATGTGCCGGTGCCATGAAATCGGTTTAACGCATGCGGATTGCATAATCTTGCAACCGGACTTTAGATACGGGAAAAATTTTTCCAATCACTTTAGTTGAAGTGGCACAGTGTTCCTTCATCTTCTGTAGATAATATACACCGTGCTACTTCTCTCTCTACTGGACTATTAGCTTTGTGGTCAGTGATCTTTGTCCTGAATACCACAGATTCCTTCGGTCCCATGTCTGCATAACCGTAATTGCAATTACGGTAAACCATGTTCGTTTGCCACTTTCTGTCCTATAACGTTATATGTTCCTTTCAGAAGACAAATAAGTGAGATCACGTTCACGTTTCCAAACCCCGAATCCACCGGATCACAAAGAAACTCTCCAACTTAAACGAACCGATCCTTTTATTCTAGCGACTACGTAGTTTCAGTTAGGGCGATTATCCAATTTTGTGTCCCTGAACACGATGAAAAGAGAGTAAAAGCATCCGGACTGCCTTTACTTAATCAGAAGATCCTGTTTAGTTTCTGTAGTCCTGCCATGACCTCCTCGATGAACCGCGTGCTGCACTTAAAGCCTGATCGCCTGAGGACAGATGGAGCAATATTGAGCAAGCTAAGGACTAGTCAACCCGATTTATAGACCCATAGTGTCTGAGTTTTCCCAATGTTCCCACGGATTGTCGTCGTTAGAGACTGCAACCGCAGTGTTGAAACTGCAGTTTCACGGCTGTACCATTGACAGGTGTGGCATGCGACACCCTTTACATAGCATCGAGAACTGGAGTGACTACAGTAGTTACAAACATGACTTGACCGATCCGTTGATCATCATAATGAGCATTAAACGTAGCCGGTCCGTCATCTCGTTAACGAGTTTTGACTGGACAGAAAATTCGACTGAACTTGTCATATGTATGCTCAGAAAACCTGACGGAGTTTAGCTCATGATACCGACCACTTTCGGTGCTCCTAACATGGATTCTTTTGCTCTTCCTCCTTGCCCCCTGCCACGATTATATTTTCAAGTAGAACAGACTGGCCAAAGAGCAGAGTGATTTTTGGGTGTAGTCCAAGTAGACCCAAATACGGTTATTGAAATAACCTCCCACTATCTTTCTCACGTATAATGTTCCAGAAGCCACTAATGGCGAAGGGGTTTCCAGCTGATTGGGTGCTGTTGGTGGCCACCTGTTTACGGTTCTTTGCCAGTGTCTGTGGATGTGTCCTGTAAACGCACTGGTAGTGACCGTATATCATTAGTGTCTGCTTACGTCCAAAAAGACTAGCTCTGATATAAATGCGTAAATAGGTGCGCTTTGCACCATGGAAATTTAGTTAGACGACGATAGAGCGTATTTCTGTAGTATGCAGACCACCTTTCATAGACGAAAAAACGTCAAGCCGACACGGAGGGTGTTGTGAGAGTCAAAAGTTGCCCTGGCTTTCTCGGTACGAAAGGGTTATCTTCCGCCACTAGTTTGCCGGAACCTATAAGACTGCCTAGGTTAGTAAATTTATCTGTGGCGTCGATTAGCCGATCTACAAGCATGAAGTGTGGATTCTGTCACACCGAGATCTGCACCGTCACTCTACGTTTGGCACCTGTGCGATGCAAAACAAACCGTGTGGCTGAATAAGTCAGGTCATCAAAGGGACATTTCTTTGAACTACCTGAATCAAGAAGAACAATACCGTCTGTTTACTCAATGCCTGTGAGCAAATGTTCCGAGAGTGTTCTGATCCCCAAGGTAGAACAGTTTCAGGCAGTGCATCACTAAAAATTTTGAAGATGAGTGGTGACAGAAGGCAGCCTTGTCCTATACCGCAGGGAATATTAGCTCAGGTAACAGATTGCTACATGCTTGTAGACGCCCATGAATGTTCGCATATGGTGCTTTTATGTCGGATAAAAATGCGTTCGTGGCCAGGGAAAATGGGTTTGATTCCCGCAAATCTTCCTGCACCGAGTACTGCCAGAAACCACCTCGGGTACCACAGCTACCAGGCTGGGGCCGCGGTGTTCATTGCCGTCACTTATTACCATTTTTTAGAATTGCAACACTGATTGGTGGGGATACTGTTTTTTCCTATTCCTCTTTAGCAGAATAGTCAGGACGTTTTGAAATATGCACAGAAGCAATGTATCAGAAAGAGATGTTTGTTTGCCGGTTTGACAAAGAAACCTGCCATATGGATAATACTTCCTAAATTTGTAAGATTATTTTGATTCATCTTATTCGATGATCATTGAGACTCGAGACAATCGTTAGGAGACCGGCAGATGGATTGATTCCAGTGGACCACATGGATGGTGGGAGGGGTATGTGAACTGCGGTCCGTAAACAAGGAGCTGTAAGCGCAAACGGTACCTCCTGTTTGCCTAAACCGGGGAAAGCTTGTTTGATGGACTTCATAAACCTTTGAGTGGAAGGTCCGAATAATATGCAGTAGGTATCAGCAGTTCCATGGTGGACCCTACCCAGAACCGGCTAGTCGATTGTTTGCCCAGCTTCGTCACATAACCATCAACAGAATGACGTCGGTATTCAACACCGAAGCTTAAATTCCATAAAGCAATGATTTATTTAGAAGACTTATTGTGAAGAACAGAATAAGTACGGACGGAGCAGGGACTTGATGCAAGCTTAGTACAATCACTTCGAGGTGCCTGCACCTCCAGACATTCGCTCAGGCAAGCAATCTGGAAACTGACAACAATAACGCAACCGGCATCGATTGGCAGCCATATCTTGTAGTGTCTCCAACCGGGCGCTGTAGGGATCACGCGATCCGCATACTGGAAGGCGAGTAGCACCGGCAGCACCCAAGCGTTTCGTAATCTCCTTTATACCCTCTGCCAAGTCTAGGGTTGGCCACATCACTGCTCACGCCACCCTGAGCAGGATATGAAAAACAGCACTCTCTTCGTCAAACGGTGGTTCAGCATAGGCAATACATGTTCCAACCAACGCAACATTTGAAGTACCCGTTACCTGACCGAAAACTTGCTTTCCAATTGCCTCGTTACGGATTCGCCGACACCAACCCATACGAGCTATGGTTCTGAGACAACGATTGTCGAACACCTGAAGACGTCTCAGTTCCGCTGCTCGAATAGGCCAAGTCTCACGGCCGTACAACAAAACAGCCCGTACTGTAGCTTGATACACACGTCCCTTCAGATTCAGGGATAAGCCATTCTGGCGCCATAGGTGTCTCAAATCAGCAAACGCGGCCCGGGCCTTGCAGATTCGTGCATTCACCTCATCTGTCACACTACAGTCAGAACTAATACAAGTTTCAATATACGTAAAACGCTCCACAACTTCCAGTACTTCTCCCAGGGTTTTAAGTGGCGCGTTCAGTGACTGCGCGTCTACGAGCATGACTTTACGCTGTGGGCGCAAGATGCATGTCATTGGACGGGATGACTTCGGTCAGTTCATCGTCCTCTTGGAAGATGAGAACGTTGTCGTCTGCGTATGCTAGAAGGACAATTTTTGCATCACATGCTGTTTGAAACCCAGGATTTTGAGGACTCACCGGCGTTCGTCTCATTAGCGCATCCAACAAAATGTCAGAAATGAATGGGGAGAGTGGGCATCCCCACGGAAGCTTTTCGAGAGCTCTCCGTATACTCACAAGTCAGGAAGTCTGAGAATACAAATAAAATATCGTGTTTCCAAACCACCGGGGCTTTAGTTGGTTGGCAAACGTGTGAAGAAGAACAGACCTGTCAGCGAAGTCGAATGCGCCTTGGAAATATATGAATACTAGAACTGTGGGTTGCTTATACGCATAGCGCTGGTCCAGCACCTGACGAGGTGTGCGCACTCGAATAGTTGCGCAAGAAATAGAGAACGAGGATCGCCGAATGATTGACTTTAATCTAACAATTGCAGTACATCAGCCAAAACGTCAGGGAACACAATTAGTTTAACGAATAGCTAGTAAACAGTTGAACACAAAGTCAGTATATAAAATTCTTCCCCACCAGAGGGGTTGTTTTCAGCAGTGTATAGATAAGGCGTCGCGGTTTCGAAGACGGTCGAACACGTTGTTTGACTGTGATGTACTGTAGGGCATTCTCTGGGATTTCACTGGGTTGTTCCGATGGTGGCGTTTTGCCTCCAGAAGGGCCAAGAGAATGTGATTCAGTCTCGTCTGGAGGAGGGGCTACGCTTTCGATTGTTTCGATCAAATAGACATCTGAAATGTTTGGTGCTTTGGGTGCCAGATGTCTAAGAGAAACAGTTTTCCTTTCCGTTCGGGAAACGAACGCAGGCACCGCGGGTTGCACTTAACAAGCTTGTTCAGAGGCCATCCGTCCCTAATAACCGAACATCACATCACTTGTACGGATGTGTCACGTGCGGAACACGGACCAACCGAAGGCATGCCCAGAATGCCAACCAATCCGAGTCGAGTATCTTTGACTCGACGCTTTTCGCCCCCTCACGGAGCTTCTGGCTCGACCATGCGGAGCACCCTGTGATTACCCCATAAGCACAGCCGTATTA